GCGGGCCGGGCGCGCGTCCCGCCCCCTCCCCGCCGGCCCGGGATCCCCGAATGCCTTCGCCGACCCCGCGGACACACCCCGACCTTCTCCCCGCGGCCGACCACCCTGCGATGGGCTGTGTTTTCATGATTGTTCTCTGGTTTTTACAAGGAGGGAGGGGAGGGCCGGGAACGCCAGGAGGAGTTCGAACCCGAGCTTGCTCCAAGGGACTGTTTTCCAGCCCTTAATCACACACACACACATACACACACACACACTTCCGAGCACCACAGCCAACAACAAACAGACACTTCCGTTTCCCATTCTGACCACTTCTCTGGGAAAGCGAAGAAGAAGCAGCAAAGCCAACGTGGGGTGGGAGCCGGAGCTGAGACGAGGGACAGGAAGAAAAGAAGCGCAGGGAGCGAGGCCCCGGCCCTGGCCCCGAGGGGGCGCTGGGGGCTCGGGCACGGGTCTCCAGGGGGCTCGGACCCTTCCCGCTCTCCCTCCAGGCCGCGAGAAGCGGGCCTGTCCGCTCAGAAAGTCCATCCTGGCTGCCTTCAATATTCAGACTCCAGAGCCCAGTACATTGAAATGCGGATTCAGTTCCCTCTAACAGGCTGGAGACCTTGTACGCAAGAGGAGAAATGGCCAGTTTGAAGGTTCGCAGGTAGAATCTGGAGTTGATTTAATCTCTGTTGCCTAAAATCCCCTTTGGTATTCAAGCCCTGTCACAATAGCTGCTTTCTTTCAAAACAAAACATATATATTTATATATATGTATATCTACACATATACATATATATATACATATATCTTGTGAGACTTGCTTCATTCTATTTTATTTAAAAGTTTTATTGGAAGCCAGCAGTGATTTCTTAAAGACTCCAAAAATAATCAAAATTGTTTTCTAGGAAAGTTCTAACGGATTGGAAATACAAAGAAAAAGAAAAAAACTCAAAAATGTATCCATCTGAGTACTGAGTGATACTTAGGCTCCTCAAGGTGATTGGGAACCCTGTTTTTTGCAGAAAAGCAAAATAGATTGCAGCTGATAAGCTATAATTACACTTCAGATCCAGGCTTAATCTAATTATATGCCTATATTCTTCCCTCTATACATTCAGAAACAAGATTGAGAGGGAGAAAAGATCCTCTAAATAATGAGCCAATGACTATAGGAAATGTACTCATTACCTTGCTCATGTAACTGTAACCCCTCTGTACAGTATCTTTACAAAAAAATAATAATAATGAGCCAATGTTCATAGCTCCTTCAGGAAGATCAAGAGTTGAGCCCTTCCTGCCCCCTATGCAAAACAATCCATGAGTCAAAGGAAGAATGGAGGGTAATGTCCAGGCCACAAACCATACTACTTAAGGAAGTGAGAAAAGGAACTTCAACTTCACTGATGGTCATAATTTATTATCAAACAAAAGAAAAATAATTTGTATCTGGAAGACATCTAAGAAATCATGGTTCATCCCTCTCTATAGATGAAGAAGTAGAGTTTGGAAGAAGTTTCAACATCATACATGATGACCTTGAAACATCTCAACTATTAGTCTTGAGACTTAGAATTTATTACTGCACCTTAAAAATTCTTTCAAGTACTGTATTTCCAACATACTTCTGACTTTTAACATTTTATTTCACTTCAGCTTTTCTCATTTTTTTTGTTTGTTTCCTTGAGTACCCTGATTGGTTTGGGATACACACTCTTTCAAATATTATCTACAGTAATGGATTATGGAAACATTTGGAAAATAATAGTTGTATTTTTGTTTGAATCTATAATCATCATCATTTTCTACTTGCCCTCTTACAATATTTCATAAGTGTTTCTGATTCTTCCTTTGTATGGCTTTAGTCCATTGGGTCTTCCATAACAAAGATACTGGGTAGGTTTACCGACAAATATTTATTAATCACAGTTCTGGGGGCTAAAGAGTCCAAGATCCAAGCCCAGGCAGATTCAGTGCTTGACAAGTTCTCATTTCCTAGTTCAGAGACAGCCACCTTGTGTGTCACACAGCAGAGCAGGTGAGAGCTCTCTGGGGTCTCTTAAGAAAGGCCTAGCCGGTGGCTCATGCCTGTCATCCTAGATACTCAGGAGGGTGAGATCTGAGGATCACGGTTCAAAGCCAGCACAGGCAGGAAAGTCCATGAGACTCTTATCTCCAATAACCACCAGAAAACTGGAAGCATCACTGTGGCTCAAGTGGTAGATCGTTAGCCTTGAGCTGAAGAGCTCAAGTGCCCAGGCCCAGAGTTCAAGCCTCATGACTGACAAAAAAAATAAAAGGCCTACAACCCATTCAAGGAGGATCTACCCTCCCCACTCCCTACCTAATCACTTTCTAAATACCATCACAGTAGGCAGTAGAGTTTCTACATATGAATTTGAGAAGGGAAAAAAATGTTCAGACAATAAAAATGTTTCGATTGCATGACATATAAATGCACCAAACCATTAAGTGCTATTTTCAAAATTACTTTTCCATAGCACACAGTCCAAACTCCCCTTTTTAACACAACAGTCACCTCTATTATAGTATCCCCAGCAATGGCTGAGTGTACTTAAGAGTTGCTAGATTTTTAATTTAGAAGCTGTCACAATGCATAAACATGGTTATTGAAAGAAAAATCTTGGTTTCTGCAGCATTACCTTGCTTATGTTGACTAAATATCATCTATCATTGTATTATCCTGAAACCCTCAACAGAACAATCTGGAATTCTTTCAGTTGCTCTCTAGCTTATACTAACAAATAATGGTATACTATCAAAGATGCTAAAAGCTTTCCTTTAAAGAAAACCTAAAGTGTTTGCTTCATAAAATATTCACAAAATATAGAAGTAAATGTTGGTTTTGCCTTGTGTTTCAAAATTTTACATCAAGGTGTTGCTTTTGTTCTCCTCGTCCTACTTCTCCCCTGCAAGTTATACAAGAGAGCTGAAGTGAAGTGTTGACATTCAATCAAATCATGGCTCTAGTTTTTAATCCCTTTTTATTTCTTTGGGTTTTGTTGTTGTTGTTGTTCTTAAATCTGCCTTAAAAAGTATAAATTATCATCTAGACTCTCATTGCCTATAACAACATTCTCATAAAACTGTCATTCAGAGCACCTAAGAATACAGCTTTCTGATATTGCAACTGGCAGTCTCCTGCTCTCAAAACTGCTCTGGGGGCGTGCAGAAGAACAGCAAGAGTCCTACAACATGAATTATCATCTTTTGTTTGTTTGTTTTTTCTTTTTTTAGTACTGGGGATCAAACCCAGGACACTGCACTTGCTAGGCAAGTGCTTTGCCACAGAGTTATATCCTAGCCCATGAATTATCATCTTTTATAAGCCCATCTTCCCTCCAGGAATTTATCTAGCTCATCCATATGCATACATTTTATCATAGCTATGCAAACCCACACATGCCATCCATAGGACATAAGCTTAGGACAGTTTATTTTCCCATAAACAAACACAGTCTGACAATTTAGATTTACTCAAGTACCATAAGTAAAATAAAGCTTCCCATGCATGAGCTCACTAGCAGCTCACTCGTCAGATGAAGCATGCTGTTGTCAGGACTACAAGAGTCCCAGTCACTTCCCATGCCCAATGCAACAGACTTCATACCCTACTTCTCCAAATTCTTTTCCATCTCTTATTTTAATATCCCATATCTTCAGTCAACTAAACTCATTATCTGGTGCCCCTTGACTCCAGCATTGGGTGAGGAAAAGACTAGAGCCTGTAAAATTCTTAGATGAATATAACATAGGTTGTACCATATAAAGGACACCAAGTTTATAGGAAGTAGTTTATATCCAAAAAATAACATAGTACCCTTGGTGTGGAATGCTTGCAACCAAAAAAGAAAGGTTTCTTATTTCAAGGCTTTTCAAATTTTTGAACTATTTCTGTATACATAATGAAAAGCCATACCTGATCCATTCATTTAGTCGTTCAATAATCATGCACCTGCTACCTAGTAACATGCACCGTGTTCCCTGCCAGACGTGGACAGTGCCTCTCTATATTAGAGATTATTCCAGATTTTGAGATATCTGTAAATACATCATGAGATGTCTTAGGAATGAGATCTAAGTCTAACTACGATACTCAATTCATGTCCCACATAAACCTTACACACACAATCTGAAGGTAATCTCATACAATAATTTTAATACATCTGCACTGTGACTATGACCTGTCACGTAAGGCCAGTAGTAGAAGTTCCCAATTGTGACATAATTGTAGGCACTCAAATGTTTGCAGATTCTGAAGCATTTAGGACTAAGGATTTTTTTAATTAAAGATATGAAACCTGTACTAAGATTATTGTGCATAAATATCCAAACTTCCCCCAAACTAGCTTATAGGGCAGTAGTACAGAACACAATGCATGCCCTGGAGAGAAGGACATAGATCTGTCAGCAGAGGATTTTTGAGGCTTAGTTGGGATAAAAGCAGTCTGGGCACAAAAATGTCTTCTTCTCTTTAACAATCCCTGTCACCATAGCTCGATTTTTTTTCCCTAGGCTCTTAG